ACATGCTAGGTCTTCTTCCTATTTCTCTAAGTGAGGTCTACCGATGGAAAGTTATTATGTAAATCTATGCACGAAAACCTACTCTCTATTTTAAATGCATAATTTCTGCAAAATATTGTTTTATGCCCTTAACCATATTAAATGCATAATCGTCACTAAATATAACCCCTCTGGTCAGTCAGGTGAGATATTGCGCATGCGCTAACACACTAACATAGCCAGATTGTGTACTGACGGTTATATGCAACCGGCACCTTAAATGCAATGTCTTCTTCCTATTTATTAAATTAGGTCTACTGATAGAAAGTTATCATATAAATCTATGCTAGAATACGTCTTCCCCATTTTAAATGCATAATTTCCGTAAAATATTCTTCTCCTCGGGAGATATTTCGCATGCGCGATCACCGTTTTAGGAGTGCAGTACCATTATTGAAGAACACTGCATAATATAGCTTAAGTGATGGACAGGGGAGGCAAGGCCGGGGTAGGACGGGAGGAGGTGAAGTTGGAGTTTTGCACCCTACAAGCTAGGGCGCTCTACTAATCATAAACACAGGTATACCGATAACAATTTATTACAGAAATCTATGGTGAGATACCCCCTAACCATGTTAAATACATAATCGTCGCAAAATAGAACGCCTCTGGTGAGATATTGCGCATGCGCTAACACACTAACATAGCCAGATTGTGTACTGACTGTTATATGCAACGGGCACCTTAAATGTATTGTCTTCTTCCTATTTATTAAATGAGGTATATTGATAAAATGTTATTATATAAATCTATGCTAGAATACGTCTTCCCCATTTTAAATGCATAATTTCCGCAAAATGTTATTCTTTTCGGGAGATATTGCGCATGCGCGAGCACCGTTTTAGGCGTGCAGTACTGACTGAAGAACACTGCATAATATAGCTTGCTGAGAGAGAAGGGAGAGAGACTGAGGCAAGGCAGCAAGGAATATAGCTGGGAGTGGTAGAAGAAGAAGGAGGCAGAGCGAGGGACAGGGGAGGCAAGGGGTAGGACGGGAGGAGGTCAAGTTGGAGTTTTGCACCCTACAGCCTAGGGCGCTCTCCCAATCATAAACACAGGACTACTGATAACAATTTATTACAGTAATCTATGCTGAGATACCCCCTAGCCATATTAAATGCGTAATCATCACAAAATATAACTCCTCTGGTGAGATATTCCGCATGGGCTAACACACTAACATAGCCAGATTGTGTACTGACTGTTATATGCAACGAGCACCTTAAAATGTAATGTCTTCTTCCTATTTCTTAAATGAGCTCTACTGATAAATTGTTATCATATAAATCTATTTTAGAATACCTCCTCTCTATTTTAAATGCATAATTTCTGCAAAATATTCTTCTTCTCGGGTAATATTGCGCATGCGAGAGCACCGTATTAGGCGTGCAGTACGGATTGAAGAACACTGCATAATATAGCTTGCTAAGAGTGAAGGGTGGGAGACTGTTGTGAGATGGCAGAGAAGATAGCTGAGAGCGGTAGAAGAAGACGGAGGCTGAGCGAGGGACAGGGGAGGCAAGGCCGGGGTAGGACGGGAGGAGGTGAAGTTGGAGTTTTGCACCCTACAGACTAGGGCGCTCTCCTAATCATAAACACAGGTCTATTTATAACAATTTATTACAGAAATCTATGGTGAGATACCCCCTAACCCTATTAAATACATAATATTTGCAAAATAGAACGCTACTGGTGAGATATTGCGCATGCGCTAACACACTAACATAGCCAGATTGTGTACTGACTGTTATATGCAAGGGGCACCTTAAATGTAATGTCTTCTTTCTATTTCTTAAATGAGCTCTACTGATAGAGTGTTATCATGTAAATCTCTTCTAGAATACCTCTTCTCAATTTTAAATGCATAATTTCTGCAAAATATGTTTCTCCTCGGGAGATATTGCGCATGCGCGATCACCGTTTTAGGAGTGCAGTACCGATTGAAGAACACTGCATAATATAGCTTGTTAAGAGTGAAGGGTGGGAGACAGAAGCAAAGCAGCAGGGAATATAGCTGGGTGCTGTAGAAGAAGAAGCAGGCTAAGCGAGGGACAGGGGAGGTAAAAGGTTGGACGGGAGAAGGGGAAGTTGGAGTTTTGCACCCTACAGGCTAGGGCGCTCTCCCAATCATAAGCACAGGTCTACTTCTAACAATTTATTACAGAAATCTATGGTGAGATACCCCCTAACCATATTAAATACATAATTGTCACAAAATATAACTCCTCTGGTGAGATATTCCGCATGCGCTAACATACTAACATAGCCAGATTGTGTACTGACTGTTATATGCAACGGGCACCTTAAATGTAATGTCTTCTTCCTATTTCTTAAATGAGCTCTACTGATAGATTGTTATCATATAAATCTATTTTAGAATAACTCCTCTCTATTTTAAATGCATAATTTCCGTAAAATATTCTTCTCCTCGGGAGATATTTCGCATGCGCGATCACCGTTTTAGGAGTGCGGTACCGATTGAGGAACACTGCATAATATAGGTTACTAAGTGTGAAGGTTGGAAGACTGATGCGAGGTGGCAGGAAAGATAACTGAGAGCGGTAGAAGAAGACGGAGGCTGAGTGAGGGACAGGGAAGGCAAGGGATAGGATGGGAGGAGGTGAATTTGGAGTTTTGCACCCTACAGGCTAGGGCGCTCTCCCAATCATAAACACAGGTATACTTATAACAATTTATTACAGAAATCTATGGTGAGATACCCCCTAACCATATTAAATACATAATTGTTACAAAATATAACTCCTCTGGTGTGATATTGCACATGCGCTAACACACTAACATAGCCAGATTGTGTACTGACTGTTATATGCAACGGGCACCTTAAATGCAATGTATTCTTCCTATTTATTAAATGAGGTCTACTGATAAAATGTTATCATATAAATCTATGCTAGAATAGCTCCTCTCCATTTTAAATGCATAATTTCCGCAAAATATTCTTTTTTCGGGAGATACTGGGCGTGCGCGAGCACCGTTTTAGGCGTGCAGTACTGACTGAAGAACACTGCATAATATAGCTTGCAGAGAGAGATGGGTGGGAGACTGAGGCAAGGTGGCAGGGAAGATAGCTGAGAGCGGTAGAAGAAGTAGGTGGCTGAGCGAGGAACAGGGGAGGCAAGGGGTAGGGCGGGAGGAGGTGAAGTTGGAGTTTTGCACCCTGCAGGCTAGGGCGCTCTGCCAATCATAAACACAGGTCTACTAATAACAATTTATTACAGAAATCTATGATGAGATACCCCTTAACCATATTAAATACATAATCGTCGCAAAATACAACTCCTCTGGTGAGATATTGCACATGCTCTAATACACTAACATAGCCAGATTGTGTACTGACTGTTATATGCAACGGGCACCTTAAATGTAATGTCTTCTTCCTATTTCTTAAATAAGCTCTCCTGATAGAATGTTATCATATAAATCTATGCTAGAATACATCCTCTCTATTTTAAATGCATAATTTCTGCAAAATGTTATTCTTCTTGAGAGATATTGCGCATGCGCGAGCACCGTATTAGGCGTTGAGTACGAATTAAAAAACACTGCATAATATAGCTTGCTGAGAGAGAAGGGAGGGAGACTGAGGCAAGGCAGCAAGGAATATAACTGGGAGCGGTAGAAGAAGAAGGAGGCTGAGCGAGGAACAGGTGAGGCAAGGGATAGAACGGGAGGAGGTGATTCTGGAGTTTTTCACCCTACAGGCTAGGGCGCTCTCCCAATCATAAACACAGGTCTACTTATAACAATTTATTACAGAAATCTATGGTGAGATACCCCCTAACCATATTAAATGCATAATCGTCGCAAAATAGAACGCCTCTGGTGAGATATTGCGCATGCGCTAACACACTAACACAGCCAGATTGTGTACTGACTGTTTGTTATATGCAACGGGCACCTTACATGCAGTGTCTTCGTTCTATTTATTAAATCAGGTCTACTAATAGAATGTTATCATATAAATCTATGCTAGAATACCTCTTCTCGATTTTAAATGCATAATTTCCGCAAAATGTTATTATTTTCGAGAGATATTGCGCATGCGCGAGCACCGTTTTAGGCGTGCAGTACTGACTGAAGAACACTGCATAATATAGCTTGCTGAGAGAGAAGAGAGGGAGACTGAGGCAAGGCAGCAAGGAATATAGCTGGAAGCGGTAGAAGAAGAAAGAGGCTGAGCGGGGAACAGGTGAGGCAAGGGGTAGGACGGGAGGAGGTAAAGTTGGAGTTTTGCACCCTAGAGCCTAGGGCGCTCTCCCAATCATAAACACAGAACTACTGATAACAATTTATTACAGAAATCTATGCTGAGATACCTCGTAGCCATATTAAATGCATAATCGTCACAAAATATAACTCCTCTGGTGAGATATTACGCATGGGCTAACATACTAACATAGCCAGATTATGTACTGACTGTTATATGCAACGGGCACCTTACATGCAATGTCTTCGTCCTATTTATTAAATAAGGTCTGTTGATAGAATGTTATCATATAACTCTATGCTAGAATACCTCTTCTCGATTTTAAATGCATAATTTACGCAAAACTGTTATTATTTTCGGGATATATTGCGCATGCGCGAGCACCGTTTTAGGCGTGCAGTGCTGACTGAACACTGCATAATATAGCTTGCTGAGAGAGAAGAGAGGGAGACTGAGGCAAGGCAGCAAGGAATATAGCTGAGAGCGGTAGAAGAAGTAGGAGGCTGAGCGAGGGACAGGGAAGGCAAGGGGTAAGGCGGGAAGAAGTGAAGTTGGGGTTTTACACCCTGCAGGCTAGGGCGCTCTCCTAATCATAAAGCCAGGTCTACTGATAACACGTTATTACAGAAATCTATGCTGAGATACATATTAAATGCATAATCGACACAAAATATAACTCCTCTAGTGAGATATTCCGCATGCGCTAACACACTAACATAGCCAGATTGTGTACTGACTGTTATATGCAACGGGCACCTTACATGCAAGGCCTTCTTCATATATCTTAAGAGAAGTCTACTGATGGAATGTTATCATATATATCTGTGCTAGAATACCTCCTCTCTATTTTAAGGATACACTAAAGCATTTGCACCGGTATTGCTCAATTAAAAAGTAAACTGTTATTGGCAAATGAATCGAATCAATCACACGCTTTATTCATAGATGAGATGTATCAACGATCTACTCTACGATCATGACAAAAGATTTCATGAAATTTCCTGCAACTAATTATGTGATAACACAAATTTTTAATATAGTGGTGTTTGCATAGGCTTTAAGTTATTTCGCTGACTGCGGAGGCGCTTGTGGATCTTTCGTAAAGACAGGATATATGTCCGCGGAAAACCACGGCACGGTGACCTGAGTCACATCATCGTCATCGCTCACGGAAAAGTAGAGGTTTGTATTCATCATACTAGTGCTGTTGCTCATAAACCAAAGAGGACCCTCGAAGTCAATTTTGAATGAGTTTGGAGGAAATTGTAGTTTGGTCATGTAACCGTTACCTACGGTGCCATGGCGGAAGTAAAGCGAATTTCTGTCGGTGTTTAGGGAAATGTTCATACTGCCAGCAAAATCATTGCTGTACAGGCCAATGAATGCGTCTAGTGGCAATGAAGCTTTACGTAATGCGTCATTAGGTCTCGAATCACCGCCACTGCTCTCTGGGAAGTAGTCCTTTGGTATTAGGAGAATGTCACGGATATCGGCGGCCTCTGAATCACTGCGAGCCCAAGGTTCGGGAAAGGAGCAGGCGGTCGTTTCGTTCAGCCAGGATGGCTCGCCAGACAAGATGTCAAGGGCGTGATATACGATCATTTGCAATCCCAAGAGGTTTCCGACGTCACTCGGACCATTGCAGCTGATGGTAACGCCCACGTTAAGGTCAGGTAGGAGCCACATGACCGTCTGGTAGCCAAATATGTTACCGCTGTGCTGTGTGGCCCTATATCCTGAAATGCAAGAAAATGAACGCAGTCATTTATTTGCGCTATATGAATAATACAAAATAGTATTATTCGTGTTTTTACACTGCACACACACACACGCGTGAAAATCCTGAATGCAAACAGATAAAATGAAACCGCGGTCACTTCCATCACATTACAGAATATAGATTAACGACGTATTTATATATCGACACTATATGGGTAGTGGGTCGTTTGCTGATCTGAATTCACGTATAACCAGAATCTAATTGCATTTCTGAATATATTGGATAACTGTTAAATAATTGGTACATAGATTAAATTTGTAGAGACCGACGGCTGCTGGAAAATGTGATAAACGATGTATTGGCCGTTTCTCTTTTAAGAGGTCCTATTTAATCTTCACAAATAGCGGGCATTCTAATAAAATTATATGCTATACATACGTATTTACACGTATAGGCAATGTTTTCACACATTGTCAAGGGTTAATAATACCAAATATAATAATAATTATTACAGGCTAGGGCGCTCTCCCAATCATAAACACAGGTATACTTATAACAATTTATTACAGAAATCTATGGTGAGATACCCCCTAACCATATTAAATACATAATTGTTACAAAATATAACTCCTCTGGTGTGATATTGCACATGCGCTAACACACTAACATAGACAGACTGTGTACTGACTGTTATATGCAGCGGGCACCTTAAATGCAATGTATTCTTCCTATTTATTAAATGAGGTCTACTGATAAAAAGTTATCATATAAATCTATGCTAGAATAGCTCCTCTCCATTTTAAATGCATAATTTCCGCAAAATATTCTTTTTTCGGGAGATACTGGGCGTGCGCGAGCACCGTTTTAGGCGTGCAGTACTGACTGAAGAACACTGCATAATATAGCTTGCAGAGAGAGATGGGTGGGAGACTGAGGCAAGGTGGCAGGGAAGATAGCTGAGAGCGGTAGAAGAAGTAGGTGGCTGAGCGAGGAACAGGGGAGGCAAGGGGTAGGGCGGGAGGAGGTGAAGTTGGAGTTTTGCACCCTGCAGGCTAGGGCGCTCTGCCAATCATAAACACAGGTCTACTAATAACAATTTATTACAGAAATCTATGATGAGATACCCCTTAACCATATTAAATACATAATCGTCGCAAAATACAACTCCTCTGGTGAGATATTGCACATGCTCTAATACACTAACATAGCCAGATTGTGTACTGACTGTTATATGCAACGGGCACCTTAAATGTAATGTCTTCTTCCTATTTCTTAAATAAGCTCTACTGATAGAATGTTATCATATAAATCTATGCTAGAATACATCCTCTCTATTTTAAATGCATAATTTCTGCAAAATGTTATTCTTCTTGAGAGATATTGCGCATGCGCGAGCACCGTATTAGGCGTTGAGTACGAATTAAAAAACACTGCATAATATAGCTTGCTGAGAGAGAAGGGAGGGAGACTGAGGCAAGGCAGCAAGGAATATAACTGGGAGCGGTAGAAGAAGAAGGAGGCTGAGCGAGGAACAGGTGAGGCAAGGGGTAGAACGGGAGGAGGTGAAGTTGGAGTTTTGCACCCTACAGCCTAGGGCGCTCTCCCAATCATAAACCCAGGACTACTGATAACAATTTATTACAGTAATCTATGCTGAGATACCCCCTAACCATATTAAATGTATAATCGTCGCAAAATAGAACGCCTCTGGTGAGATATTGCGCATGCGCTAACACACTAACACAGCCAGATTGTGTACTGACTGTTTGTTATATGCAACGGGCACCTTACATGCAGTGTCTTCGTTCTATTTATTAAATCAGGTCTACTAATAGAATGTTATCATATAAATCTATGCTAGAATACCTC